CCACAACTAGACTGAAGAACAAAACAACAGCAACTTGTCTGTTCCCCTTCCCCCAATTCCCCAGCACTGTTCCCATCCCCCCAATTCCCCAATAAAAAACTTAAAAAAAAAAAAAGTTATCAGCACAAGATTTATAGGAACATAAAAAAATGGAAAAAGGAAGAAAGGAACAGAAAAACAAATAGCAGACAAAAAACTGACCAGAAAGACACTGCCACAGAGCAGTTGAAAACTATCATCAAAGACATTCACATGCCATCAAAAAATGGAATGAGGATCTATATTCCTTTGTAAAATAAGAGCTCAAGACAGATATAAAAGCAGAAAGATGATGTGAGCCACCACAAGGAGAAGAAACAGGAGCTTGTCGAGTTCAAAGAAACATAAATCATAGATGCCCCAAAACATAAATCACATAAAACATAAATCATAAAACATAAATATAGCCTTTAAAAAAAGGCTATAGGGGCGGCCAGTTAGCTCACATGGTTAGAACGCAGGCTCATAACACTAATGTTGCTGGTTCTATTCCCACATCAGTAAAGGAACTACACCCTCCACAACCAGATTGAAGACAACTACTTGACTTGAAGCTAATGGGTTCTGGAAAAACGCCTTCCACAACTAGATTGAAACAACTATTTGACTTGGAGCTGATGGGTCCTGGAAAAACACACTGTTCCCCAAAAAAATTTCTTAAAAAAAAAAAAAGGCTATAAATTCATAATATTGTCTGAATATTTAAAAATAAGAACCCATTAAAATGCTTAAACTAACAGGCTTTTTATAAGATGGGGAAAGTATAATGCTACAAAGAATAAAATTGATAGTCAACAGAATGAAAGCTAGAAGCAAATGTTTAAAAACAAGGTTTTACCAGGGCATGTTGTAATATAAGTCCACAAAGTGAAGGGCTTAACAATTTTCCATGGTCACACACAATAGAAGTTCCCCTTGCACAGACCTACAAAGCCACCTAAATCCTTGCTGCTCTTCTTTTGAGATTTGTACCAGCAACCTCTTTTGCCGTTCTTTTACAAAGCAACTCTGAAAAGCTGGTGCAATTAGAATCATTCCATATATTAAATTTACCTCCAATTAGAGATCAAAAATACCAAAATAATGCAAAAACTCTAAGATGGCAAAAATGCAGAAATTGAAGAAAATATTATTGGAGTCCTAATAAGTTAGAAGCAAGAATTGAAGGATTTAAGAATTTAAGCAAATGCCTGTTAACATTTACTAATGGCTATTAAAATTTTGACATACTCAGCAGCAAAAATTTTCAGTAGCCTGCCTATTATTTACTAGTTTCACAGACATGATTCAGTTGGCAATGACTATCAGAAGTCTGAAGGGTTATAAGACTAGTATTCAAAGTTACATTTTTGGTTAATAAATTTTTTTATCTATTTTCAGTTTGAATTCTTCTAGGTCTGGTTTTATTTTTCTAGGCTGTGGGTTCATATTACTTTGGCTTTTGAATAATGTTTTGGAAATCAACCTGTTGCCAATAAATAAAAATTAGAGACTTGAGCAGTGTATTATAGTTTTTAAAAACAGATTATTTCTCATATAGGCAATAAAACTGATAGAAAAAAGTTTTCAAACATTTGACTCTGGAAACCTTACCAAAAAGCAATGTGGAAAAATACTAAAGCCTTACTGAGATCTATTTTCAACCTTCAGCTTAAGCAGCATCTCAATATTTAGGAATCAGACGCTAAATACAAGTTGGAAACAAAGCTGTTGTCCTAACAACTGAAGGAGTATTTGGATATTACTTTGGCTTTATTTCAAAAATGAAGTTAGAGAAGAAAGCCAAGGCAAGAGCAAGATGGTGAGAGAAAGTGTTATTTGTAGATGATACAAATTGCACTTGCTCTTTGGTTCACAGTCAGGAAGCAATTCTATTTTGAAACCATATATATCAGCAAAGCTAATCTAAGGTATATATCTTTTGTAAGAAAGTCAAACAACTTGTTTTATTTCTTATAAATTTTGATGTTTTTCAATATTGATTTTTAAATTTTCTTATTCTTTCATCTTTTTATAATATAAGGTATAGTTGACATATATTATTATTTTAGTTTCAGGTATACAACATAATGATTCGATATTTGTATATATTGCGAAATGATCACAATAAGTCTAGTTACCATAGTTACAAAAGTCTAGTTACCATAATTACAAAAAATTTTTTTCCTGTGATGAGAACTTTTAAGATCTACTCTCAGCAACTTGCAAATATACAATACAGTATTATTAACTATAGTTGTCATGCTGCACATTGCATCCCCACGACTTACTTATTTTGTAACTGGAAGTTTGTACCTTTTGACCCCCTCCACTCATTTTGCCCACTCTCTACCACTCACAATACTGATTTTTAAAAACAATTTTTGGGATGGATTGTCAAACAAATCTCTGGACTGGACTGTAAAAGACTCCCAGTATTTTATGTTACAAAAGCAGCAGTAATGCTAAATGATAGAATGCAAAAAGTAGAAAAAAACTCTTTGGAGAAGATGGCTGAAAACCAGCTACCATGTTTGGAATAGCTCACCTTAGTTTCTTTGAACTGGTAATCTTTAAACTCCTGAACCACCACAAATAAATTATCAACTGATCTCAGACAATGAACCTGGGGGGAAAAACGTTAGAAACAAATTTCTGAGAATGCTTTTGAATCATACAAACCATTGATATTTAAACATAAAACTTAGGCACAAAGACTTTAAAGTGGCTAATCCAGTAGTACCTCCTTATCTGTGGTTTCAGGTACCCATGGCCAACCACTGTCCAAAAATAAAATTCCAGAAATAAACAAGCCATAAGTTTTACATTGCATGCTATTCTGAGTAGCTTGATGAATTCTCACACCATCCCACCTGAGACATGAAACATCCCTTTGTCCAGTGTATCCACTGTATACGACACCCGCCCATTTAGTCACTTAGCAACCATGTTGTGGTATCCCAGTGTTTGTGTTCAAGTAACTGCTATTTTATTTAAGAATGGCCCTAAAGTACAAGAGTGGTGATTCTTGCAATTTTGATATGCCCAAGAGAAGCCATAAGGAGCTTTGTTTAAAAAACAAAAAGGTCAAAGTTCTTGATTGATAAGGAAAGTAAAAAAAAAAAAGTATGCTAAGGTTGCTAAGATATACGGCAAGTATGAATCTATCAATGAAATTGCCTAATTTATAAATTAAACTTTATCATAGGTATATTTGTCCAGGAAAAAACATAATATATATGGGGTTTGGTACTACCTGCAGTTTCAGGCATCAGCTAGGGGTCTTGGAACGTGTCCCCCGTGGCCATGGATGGGAGGGGAACTCTACTGTACCTATACTTTGTATATACATTTTTTCCCATTTCCCCAGTCTCTCATCTTTTTGGTTAACTATCAGTTTATAATACTCTAGAGAAAAGAAAGGACAGATGGAAAGAGCTTAGAGTGTTATGCGGGTAACAGGTTTCAGGGAGAAGGGAAAGACAAAGACAGTCAAGTGGGGCTTTATCGTATTCCCCTCATGGCTCTCTGGGGTACACTGTATATTGCAGTGGTTAAGAGAACAAGGTTTGCGGTCCAGCTCTATGATTACTAGCCGAGCAACTCTGGGCAGATTACTTATTCCTAAGCCTAATGATTAATGAGGATAACACTGCCTATCTTCACAAAACTACTGAGGTAATTAACTAAAATACTGAATGGAAAATACTTGCTTACCAATTCATCCCACAAATATTTACTGGGTGTCTACTATATGCCAGACACTAAGAGCTTTGGAGATATCAGGAAAAAAGAGAGAGACACACACACAACAATCCCTGTCCTCATTACGTTGTAATGAGATATAGTTTAGCTTTTTTATTCTTGTGGGAGGGCAGTTTGCTGTCCTTCACGTCTCACCTTCAGTGATTCCTAATTACTTTTGAGCAAGTATTTCTTGACACAGATTTGAAGAAAAATCTCTCCTATTATGTTTCACCCCCAAAATCTAAACTTTAGCTAGATGCTGAAGTAAATAAATTTCAAAGATATGTAGCAGATACCCAGAATTTCTTCATAAATCACACATAATTCTTCTGATGAATTCATCCTTAGGAAATAATTGGAATCAATTCTGAAAATATGGCAAACCTACTCGTCAAACTTACAAATTAGTAAACAATAGAAAATGCAGTAAAATTTTAAAATCACCTGATTCGGAGCTGAGAAAAAAAAGCAAAAAGGACTCCAGAGAGGTCTGTAAACTAGAAAGTAACCATAAAATGACCTATTTAGAAAACTATTTTAAATATTGCTTCATTCAAACCTGAGCCAGACTTTCCACCGAAATGTCAAAATATATTTTGCCCCGGTCTTTGCTGATTTTGCATGATGACCTCAATTTCTCTCTCACTTCATCTGCAGCTGTTTGCTCAAAACCAGTAGGTACAGTGGCTCCAATAGTGACTTGGAGATTCTCGGACTCACTTCTGGGGCCACTTCCCGTCACCTGTATAGACCTCTGAGTCTCATGTAGGTTCACATCCAAAAGTTGGTTAGTGGCTTCTTCAACATCAGACATGTTGGCAGTGCTTCGAGATCCTTAATATAGTCCTTTTAAAAGCAGTACAGGAAAGAAAAGATGTCCAAACATTATCAACTCATATTTCAACTGTAACGAAAAACATCTGCTTTGGAGGACTAGAAGAACAAGGCAACACAACTGATACAACCACATTCAGTCAACACACTTGAATCAGTATTCACCAAAGATAAAAGGATTGAATAACATGGGCGTAGAGTGTAGGATGTGAGATATATATTAAACAAGCAATATAGATACTGTGGAAGAAAAAGAGACAGACAAACACGCAACATTTGGTTTGGGATCATCTATGTTGATAATAGTCATCTCATAACCACAACAGTTAATAATCCAAAAACAGACTACTAGAGCACACTGAAATACATTTCTGCATCTAGCCCTTTTTTTAGCTAGCAGTGGCTTTGGAATTTCAGGCTTGGGTGTGGATCCTTGCCCTCACCGTTCACAGGTTGAATGACCTAAAACAAGTTTATTCTCCTGTGTCTCAATTTCTTTATCTGCAAAATAGTTATTTAATAATACCTCTCTCCTAGAGTTGTTGGGAGACTTAAGTGGGAATACCATACTACCGGGCCCACGATTAAAACTCGCTAATGAGGCATCTATCTTCCTCCTGTGAAGGGGACAGTGATTGATGCATTTAAAACTGATGAACTTAACATCTGCTGACTACAATATTTGAAGGCCTACTACCGGTCAGGCTCTGGGATCCATGGGTGGGCATCAAGAGAAATCTGAAATTATCTTAAAGTGTAAGCCAAATTTCCTGTATCTGAGCGTGAAGGGGGTGGGGTTAGAGAGGTGGGTGGGAAATGGGAATCAACAGCTTTCACCAGATTTTCAAAGGTTTTGTGACCTAAAACGACTTAAGTAGGCACCGAGTACCTAATCTATCCTTGTTCTGTACACGGGACAGCAAACGATGTCTAATACTAATAAAAGTCAGTTCCTTCCCTTAAGGAGCTCACAATAACTGTGAATAAGACCTCCAGCTTCTTTTAAATAAGGAGGCTGAAGCCCACGAAAGGAGGCGTAGCCTGCCTAAGGTCGGAGAGACAGCCAATAAGGGGCGCACACTGTAATGAAACCCACGACTCCGGCCTCCCACCCGCAGGGCCCTCGTCACAGGAATCCACAGTAGCCGGTGAAGACCAGGGAGAGGAAGCGAGAAGGACCCCACAAGGACACCAGGCTGCTGGCCTGGATCGCAAGACGAAGGTCACTGCTCCCTCCCGCGAGTTAGCCGCTCCTCAACCGGCCACTCCCACCCGCCGCCCGGTTACCGGCTGCAAGCGTTAAACCCTTTCCGCTCCGCACGCCGCCGACCTAGTGCGCCCAGGTCACGCCGCCGGAAGCCGCGTCCACAGCCCCGGAAACGGAAGTCAGGAGGCGCGGTCACAGCGGCTTCGAGCGAGGTGTGGCGCAGGCGTTAAGGTCTTGGAGAGAGGACCGTCCGTCTAAAGGTTTGTGTTCGGTGGCGGCTACGATAGCGCCTAAAGGTTTGTGTGCGGTGGTGGCTGATATAGAGTGGTCTGCTCCTGCAGTTGGGGACAGTATCTGTAAGCTGAACCGAGAGCCGTGAGCCTCGTGGCTTGCCATCCTAATGGCTAACATTTATAGAGTGCTTACCCGAGCCAGGCACTGAGTAAGCGCTTCACATCGTCATTTCATTTGTTCCACAGATCTTTTTTTTTTTTTTAGATTTTTATTTATTTATTGGGGAATTGGGGGGATGGGAACAGTGCTGGGGAAGTGGGGGAAGGGGAACAGACATGTTGCTGTCGTTTTGTTCTTCAGTCTAGTTGTGGAGGACGTTGCTTCACTGGCCCAAGTTGGCACCATCATTGCGCTCTTCCCCTGCGAGGCAGATCAGTCCCCGGCTTCTGGACGGTCACTCACTGCGACTGCTGGCTGCCCATGGCAACCCACTGCCACAGGGGCTGCAGCCTACACAGTCAGCGACTCAGGGCAGCCCAGCTCCAGGTTGAGCTGTTGTTCTGCATCTTAGCTATGGAGGGCAGTGTCAGTGGCCCTCGTGTGGGATCCAAACCGGGGCCCTCTGGCATCCCAAGCCAGTTCTTAACCTTCGTGCCACTCCGCCGGCCTTGTTCCACAGATCTTTATTTAATGTGACCCGGGCCATCCCCTTTTTAAAGCAGAAGAAACTGAGTCTCAAAGAGGTTAAATATCTTGGCCAAAAAGTCACACACAGTGTTTTCCAGGCAGAGCTGGGATTCGAACGTGGATGGTGTGCCTCCGGAATTCTTGCTCTTAAAATCTGAACCAGTGTTGCTCAAACTAGTCGCTGAGTTATAGTCAGTAGTTACCCGACCCAGCCACCCCATATTTATCGGTGGTTTTGTTTTCCATGGTTTTAGTTACCCTGGGACAACTATGGTCTGAAAATATTAGATGGAAAGTTCCAGAAATAAACAATTCATAGGTTTTAAGTTGCATGCTGTTTTGAGTAGCATGATGAAATCTTGCATTGCCCTGCTCCCATTTGTCTAGGATGTGAACCATCTTCTGTCCAACGTGCCCACCCTGTTCATTCAGAACAATAAAGTATTTTAAGAGAGACCACTTTCAGATAACTTTTATTACAGCATATTGTTATAATTGTTCTATGTTATTATTGGTTATTGTTAATCTCTTATTGTGTATTTCAAAAATTAAACTTTCTCAGGGCCAGCCAAGTGGCTCAGTTGGTTAAGAGCTCGCTCAAGAGTTTGAGCTCTGAGCAACAGCAGTTCAAGTCCAGCCCGAGCTGAGCAGCCACTGAGCTGCCAACAGGTGGCAGGATGGCTCGGCTAAAAAAAGTAATAAAAAAATAAAAAAAATTAAACTTTCTCATAGGTATGTATGTATAGGGAAAAGCATAATATATGTAGGGTTCAGTGCTATCCATGGTTTCACACATCCACTGGGGTCTTGGAACATACCCCTTTTGGAAAAAGAGGGACTACTGTATCACCTTCACTATTTTTGCCCAATAGCGCTATTGTTTACTTGCTGTTTTTAAAAATATATGTATTTTAATTTATTTTAGAAGGAAACCTTAAAACTCAACAACAGAAAGATAACCCAATTTAAAAGTGGGTAAAGGCTTGAATATTTCTCCACGAAGATACATGTATGGCCAATAAACACATGGAAAGATGCTCAGTATCACTAGTCAATAGGGAAATGCAAATTAAAACCACAATGAAATACCTATTTGAGTGGCTGAATTTTTTGAAAAATGGATGTTCCAAGTTCCAGGGAGGATGTGGAGCTATGAAACATTTAAACATTGCTGGTGGGAATGCTTTTAAAGTGGTACAACAATCACTTTGGAAAACAGTTTGGCTTTTCTCAAAAAGTTAAACATGGAATTATATTACCCATCAATTCTACTCATAGGTATATATACGCAAGGGAATTGAAAGCAGATGTTAAAACCTTGTACATGAATATTCTTAGCAGCATTTATTCATAATAGCCCAAAAGTGGAAATAACCTAATTGTCCCATCAGTAGGTAAGTAAATATAGTCTATCCATACAGTGGAATGTTATTCACTCAAAAAGGAATGAAGTACTGATGCATGTTACAAAATGGATGAACCTTGAACACATTATGCTAAGTAAAAAAATTCAGACCCAAAAGACCACATTATGTTTCCATTTGTATGAAATATCCAGAATAGGCAAAACTGTAGAGACAGGAAGTAGATTAGTGGTTGCTTAGGGCTGGGAAGAAGGAAGAGATTGGGGATGATAAGGGGTATGGGGCTTCTTTTTGGTGTGATGAGAATGTTCTGGAATTAGATATAAGTGATGGTTCCAGAACATTGTGAATAGACCAAGAAACACTGAATTGTACACTTTAAAATAGTGAATTTTCTCTCAAAGGAAACTCATCTGCAGTTTCCTTATATGCGAAATGCTACTTCTCATAAGAGTTGTGTGATTTAAATGAGATTAGCATGTTGACAGGCACATAATTGAAATAGATAGTACCCTTAAAAATAAATACAGTGAAAACAAAGCAAGATGATTAAATTCTAGCCAGATACTGTTCCCTACTAAAGGCTCTTAGTAGGCTCTAAATGTAAGGCTCATTTTCTGTTCGTTAAAGGGATCAATTATCAAGTGTTAGGGACAAACTTGCACTAAATGAGGCCTTCTTGATAAAGTGAAAAGATCCTCTCCACCTGATTCAGTGTTATTTAATGCATATCTTTATACTATTTAAAATTATCTCCATAAACAGGTCTCACACCTGAGGAAACTTTTCTCTAAAGACACGTTGCCTCTCTTTCTGTGCCCAGCGCAGCCATGGCTCGTGGTCCCAAGAAGCATCTGAAGCGTGTAGCGGCTCCAAAGCACTGGATGCTGGATAAACTGACCGGAGTTTTTGCTCCTCGTCCATCTACCGGTCCCCACAAGCTGAGGGAATGTCTCCCTCTCATCATCTTCCTAAGGAACAGACTAAAGTATGCCCTAACAGGAGATGAAGTCAAGAAGATTTGCATGCAGCGGTTCATTAAGATTGATGGCAAGGTCCGAACTGATGTCACCTACCCGGCTGGTTTTATGGATGTCATCAGCATTGACAAGACCGGAGAGAACTTCCGTCTGATCTATGACACCAAGGGTCGTTTTGCTGTTCATCGCATTACACCTGAGGAGGCCAAGTACAAGTTGTGCAAAGTGAGAAAGATCTTTGTCGGCACAAAAGGAATCCCGCATCTGGTCACCCATGATGCTCGCACCATCCGCTACCCTGATCCCCTCATCAAGGTGAATGACACCATTCAGATTGATTTGGAGACTGGCAAAATTACTGATTTCATCAAGTTTGACACTGGTAACCTGTGCATGGTGACCGGAGGTGCCAACCTGGGAAGAATTGGTGTGATCACCAACAGAGAGAGACACCCTGGTTCTTTTGATGTGGTTCATGTGAAAGATGCCAATGGCCACAGCTTTGCCACCCGGCTCTCCAACATTTTTGTTATTGGTAAAGGCAACAAACCATGGATTTCTCTTCCCCGTGGAAAGGGTATCCGCCTCACCATTGCTGAAGAGAGAGACAAACGACTGGCAGCCAAACAGAGCAGTGGGTGAAGTGATCTATCTCTAGGTGACATGTTTGGAAGATCCTTCGTCCCCAATTAAAGATAATATAGCATAATGAAAAAAAGAAAGTAAATAAAGACATGTTACTTACCAGTAGTATCACGTTAAGTGTGTTATTTAACAGAATTTATTGATCATCTGTTGTGTGTCAGGCACTCCTAGGCACTGGAGATACAGCAGTGAAAAAAAAGTCTCTAAGTCTCTGACCTCCTGTTCAGAGCTTATATTCTAATGGAAAAGACAGACAATAGAGAAAATATATACATACCATATCTGTGATTATCAGTATTATGGAGAAAAATTAAGCGAGGTTGGGGGGATGGAGATTGCTGAAGAGATGGAGGGGAATGCCTATTTTATATCAGGTACTTAGGAAAGACCTCACTGATAAGGTGAAAAAGCAGATCCTGAAGGAAATGAGAGAGCAACCCACTGGATGGGAGAAGACATTATGGGTGGAGGGCAGGAACATGCTCAACGGGGTCTAGGAAGAGCCCAGAGGCCAGTGTGGCTGGGGAGGAGTGAATGAGGGGGAGAGAGGTAAAAGATAAGATGGGTGGGTACACAATATAGGCCAGTGTTTTAAAATTATCACCATGACTTAAAAAGGATCACTGGCTGCTGTGTGGAGAATGGTAGTAGGCAAGAATGGAAGCAGTTACTGGACTTTGAGTGGTCCAAGTGTGAGATGATGATGGCTCAAACTAGGATATTAGGGGTGGGTGTGGTTAGAATTGTCAAATTCTGTTGTATTTTGAAGGATGACCAATCATTGGTGATGGATTGGATGTAGATTTGAAAAGAAGGTAAAGAACAGAGTTTGAGGGTCAGACCTGGCAAATTTGTGGTCTAAAGTGCTCTGTTCTATTGATGCATGCTCAAGAACTTGAGCTAAAATGCTACAAGGGAAGTAAAAATGGACACATTTGCTCTTGATAGAGTTCTGGTTTATTGCAGAGTAATAGTATTTTACATCAGAAAAACCCTGATGATCTGCTGTGAAAATACTAATGTGGATCTTCGCTCAAAAATGCCAGTTTTGGGTAAGTAGCATATACATGTGGAAATTAAAAATTCTAATTTCTTTCTAACTGGCTGTAGTGTTAAACTAAAGTGACTCCAAAGTAAATAAGATTAAATTTGATAATTCATATAAGTATGGTGACAAAAATTAGGAACTCAATGGTAGTTGTCCCCATGAACCCACGTATCTATTTTACCCTAATAACTCTCCTTGCCTAGTCCTAAGGGTAAAACAAAGTCATGGTTAGAAAGTCCAACAGTACAGCCATTCCCCAGCCCTACGCCTTCCTTTGCTTTTCTACAGAGTTAAGGTCTGTTGACTACTTCTGCTTTCAGTTCACATGGTGATTTCCTCCGTGTCTAAATAACCTGCTTGTAGTGCTATTTCTTGCTTTTTTCAATTTTAGGGATTATCTACAGACTGCGTAGTACTTCAGCTTATTAACATCTCCACCATTCTATTACCCTCTCTCTTCTCCCCTTAAAGTTACAACCCAATATATAGTTTTTCCTCTTTGTTAAATTTACCTGGGTAAATTTTTTTTAAGCCTTTTTTTTTTAAGTTTATTTTTAAATTGGGAAACACTTTTTCTAGGACCCATCAAGTTGTTGAGTAGTTGTTTCATTCTAGTTGTGGAGGGCGCATCTCAGTGGCCCATGTGGGGATCGAACCAGCAACCTTGATGTTAATGAGTTCTAACCAGCTGAGCTAACCTGCCACCCCTACCTGGGTAAATTTAAGAGATATATTAAGTATCTTCTTGTTCTATCAACTCTGGATAGCATCTCTTGATCCCCCACACCGTAAGATGGTTTTATCAGCACTCCTGGCCCTTCTACTACCTCTCCTCCCTTCTTTGTACCTCCCAATCTATTTTGTTAAAAGAGCATTCCACTTGGCAGGTTGGATTCCTGTGGGGATGTAATTGAAAGAAGGGATGCCCCTATACCTGCTTTTCACTCAAGAAGCTACTGAAATTCCATCTCCCCCCAAGAAAGCCTTTTGGGACCTCACTGGTACATGAGAGATGTGTCTACAATCCCATTAATGAAATGATAGCCTATGAGTCCATGAACTTTTAACCCAGTGGACCTTTGGCCTATCGGATGTTAACAGCTAGAGGGGAAAACAATCAGCTTTGGCCATGCCCTAAGCAAGTTGAGGTTTATTTTCTTTTTCCCATGCCCTTGCGAGCCAATGGCTATAAAACTGCTTCAGTAATATAACTCCTGTGAGAGCCCTCGGATGGAATTAGTGACATCACAATGAATTTTCAAGAGAACGTATGTGAAATTTATTGTTCACCTTGAACTTCATATGGATAAGTAAGTTGATTTAAAAGCAACTCATTCATTTTGAAAGGAACTGTATTTGACTAATTGAGATTCCAAGGAGGAAGAAATCAATGATCTGGGGAGCGAAACACCCCTGCCACCTAGTGGTTACTTATTCTGAAACACTGCAGTCTTTCAAAGCACAACAAAAAAGGAACTGTTAGTACAGGAAACATCCAGGCAATGTCCTGAATCTGGGAAGCTTCCATTTCCTCCTCCCATGTTAGAAAGGGTTGTTAGTGAACCTTTTGTAGATAAAGACAAAACAAAGTATTAGTGGGGTGAGCCTCTGAGAGCTGTTCCCCCTTTGTGTAATCAGAATAATTAACAGTATTAACACGAAGAATGTTGTAGGTAAACATGGACTGCCACAAGATCTCTAGCATGAAGTGGCAACTCCAGAAGGAAGCAGGAAGTGCAACAAATGAACAGAGAGGGACCACAGTGAGTGGTCAGTGCAGCAGCTGCATGAGTCCAGGAGCAAAGCAGAATCAGAAGCAAGGCCTGCAGGGATAATGATCAAGTGACATAGACGCAGGATTATTGGTCAGCAATAGCTCTGGAGACCATGGTCTAGGAACTGCAGTACTGCTTGATTCAGGGTAAACTAATCAGTATACTCGGGAACAACAAAAGTAATTAACACATGGGGTACATACTCTATCCAGGCAGTGCTTTACATGCATTATCTCATAATAGTCCTGTGAGGTGAGAATAGTCCTGTTCTACAGAGGAGGAAATAGCCCAAAGTCACAGAACTAATGAGACTTAGGGCCAAGATTCGAACCCAGGTGGTTTGACCTCAGGGTCCAAGCTCTTTACTCTGCATGGTTTCCAGCTTCCCTCAGGGAGAGGGAACACAAAATTCAACCACTCCAACTCTCCTGACCTTCATATTGAGGGATGGTTATGAATTGGAACTCTAAGGTGGCTAAGATCTGGTTCTAGATCTGCAACCTACTTGTGGGAGGATATTTCACCTTTCAGGAGCTACTTTTCCTGAGTTGTTAAACAGGGATAAAATGGTGACTATTTAGTAAGTTTCTGTGAAGATTCATTGAGATAATGTACAGTGTCTGGCACATGGCAAATGAGGCAGATTGCCTACAAAGATGGTTGCCAACAGTTCTCACCGTTGTACGTATCACCCCTCCTCCCAACAAGAGGTGGAATCTACTCTCCCTCTTGAATTTGGGCTGTGCTTATGATTTGCTTTGACAATTCGGGAATGCGGTGGATGTTTTGCTGGCGAGTTCCAAGCCTAGGTCCTAAGAGGCCTGGCAGCTTCCATTTTTGCTCTCTTGGACTACTTGTGCCACTGTGTAAGGAAGCCCAGCCTAGACTCATATAGTAAGAAATCACATGGAGAGAGGTACATAAGGGAGCCAGTGTCACAGCTGAGCCCACCATCTGTATGCAGCCATGCGAGTGAGCCTAGCAAGACCAGAACTGACCTGCCAACCCACAGAATCACAAGAAATAAGTCATTCTTGTTAAAAATACTAAGTTTTGAGATAGTTTGTCATGCAGCAAAAAGAAAGTCCTTGATAAATAGTATCTATTAGTATTAAAATTGGTGCTGGTGAGGGATTCAGCTAAATACCTAATTCATCTTAGGTCACTGATTTTTCTCCCCTTTCACTGAAATGGGCTGAGAGAAACAAGGCTTATATGTGCAGATGAACATTGCTTATTTTCAATGTCATATCTCTTTATCAAAACAATATTGCTATATATCTACTCAGAAAGACTTTGCTAGCATTTCAAATTGCCATATAAATTTGAAATAATATAGAAGCATATTTCTTCAAACATTTATAATTAAGGCTTTTCAGTAAATTGGTTATGATGGGACCTTCCAAAGCCTTTATGTTGTAGAATCTGAGGCATGGACAGACTTATCTTTTTATTTATTTTTATTTTTTATTTTTAGCTGAGCCATCCTGCCACCTGTTGGCAGCTCAGTGGCAGCTCATCTCGGGCCAGGACTCGAACCACCATTGCTCAGAGCTCACACTCTTGAGCAAGCTCTTAACCAACTGAGCCACTTGGCTGCCCCATCAGACTTATCCTTTTAATATAGCATCTCACATCCCTGAGACTGACACTTGAACCTTCATCTCCTTTATATCCTCTTTCCTACATCCTCTCATTTTCTGTCTAGACACATCCCTTACCTCTCACCATGTCTTTTCCTATCTCTTTTCTTTATTGTGATGATTAAATAAGATCTTTCCTACTGAAATGTAAGCTCCAGGAGGGAGGAGATGTTTCATCTATTTTGTTCTCTATAGGAGGTTCTTCACTTAGAACAGTGCCTGGCATACAGAACGTGTGCAATGAATGTGTGTTGAATGAATTAAATAATGCATGTAAATACACTTAGAATAATGTCTGGCATAGAGTAGATGATGCTCAATAAATAACCTATGACAGGCAGCTCCATACTATAATAAATGAGGTAATTCACATTTATTTTTAATGTACTCTGTTTCATTTAGTCTTTCTCCCTTTTCTTTCCAGTCTTTGTCCTTTTCTTCTTTTCTTCCTTTTTCTGTCTTTGCATCTTTTCTCCTGCCCTTACTTGTGGCCTGCCAGAGACCCCCATAGATGTTGTTTTGCCTTACCTCAGAGGATGTGCAGAAAAAGATCCTGGAACTTTGTCTTAAATGAAATGTAACTATTTGTGATCGATAGATGACTAGCTGACTTGGGACTTCACATAAATTCTGCTATTT